TTTAGATGTAGAGTGATGATATAAAATAAATGTAGGACAATAAAATGCACTACTTCCTTTAAATTAAATTTTTAAAAATGCGACATGAACTTAAATTTCAGGTTTAAGTAACCCTGTGCTAGAAAATAGTGTTCTGTTTACACCTGGCCGCGTCTATATCACCAAGTTATCTGTATCAGAAGCGAATAAGGGAGCAGTTATTGCAGGTATAGTGATTGCTCATAGATAAGGCTGGGCTTTGGGGAGTTATGTGGAGTTATGTGGTCTAGAATGAGTCGATAATCTTGTTAACTAGGGTAGTATTGACATTCTGAGAGAGACGTTTCATAGTAGCTGCTATTTAAAGCACTCTATCAGTAACGTATCTGGACTTAGCTATACAATTTACTGATAGACTAGGTTTTGCTAACGGCTTCGGTCGCGTGTAATACAGTTTGCGTTGCAATTTCGCCAACAAAAGTGTAAACAATAATTACTGTTTTTGCGTTAATAACAAACATTACAACAGAGTAACAATCCATTCATCCTCAAAAACATTACACTTATAAATTAACAGGCGATATTACCACCATAATACCATGGACACGTGTCAGTGTATAGAGTGCCTTATCAGGTCGTCGGTCCACCTTGTGGGTGGACGTCCCACGCTGCGTTTTCCGGTACGCAGCCTCCATTCTAGAACCTTGCTGCCCCATCGGCCGTCAGTTCTGCGTACTGTGTCCTACCCACTGCCACTTCAGCTTGCTAATCCGTCAGGCTATGTCAGCGACTTTAATTCGTTTACGGATCTCCTCATTTCTGATAGAGTGCCTTAGCTAGCATAGATACATAATTATTGAAATATCTTCATTTATATTAAAAAAACAAAAAAAATAGTCAAAATAATGAAATAGACACTATTTACTTAGGACTATGCGATGCGGGCCTGAATCCAATAAATCCATTATTGGAAATGTCCAAATTTTCTCGCTTCCTCTATTACACCATTACTAGTTTATTAGTTTAATAGATCCTAAAATCTGATAGTTACTCGTAAATTGCCTGTCATTTAGTAATTTTAAAGTCACAAAGGGAATACTTTGTCTGTACTAATGCTATTGTGGCGATACAATCAAAATCAGTAATGAGTTAGGCATTGTCAGGAGCACTAGTGTTGTTATGTGTAATTATCGACACATGGTTTAATATGATTTTTTTTCTTTGTCATGAAGTAGATTAGTGTGACTGAAATATGACTGAGTGTCTTCCAGCCGCTTTTTCTTCTCTTTACCTATTCTGACGACTGTCCTCTAGGTTGTCTAGAAGAGGTCGCTTTATAGCGATAAGAGCGCCTAAATGTGTCGTGTTTTTTGTATATTTAATTGTCTTTCTCTTTCTTTTCATATCGTCTTGTGTGGTGTACAATAAAGTGTGTTCTATCTACCAGCAGATATGTTGTCCCGAAGTGGTAGTAGAACACGCCATAATATAAGGACATGTATAATTACTCTAAAAAAGGCCTACAGAGGAATGAATTGAATGTTGCTAGTCTAAGGTCTTACAACTTTCGTTAAATTCAAAGGCAAATAAAGAGTTTTTTGTTTGAAAAATGATGTTTTAACTAGGGCCCAAATGTACGAACTTTAGCAAACTAGGACAGGTCAGAGAAAAAAGTTGAAACTTTCAACATTACTATAGGGTTTCTGTGGCTCAATGATTGGAGCAGTCGCCTAGAAAACGAAAGGTCTTAGAATCCCGTAAACTTCATTAAAAATATTTTTCTTGCGAAGCTTTATTTTAAAATTATCCTGCTTTCGCCTCCGAGATTTATTTTACCATGTAGTACCCCTGTACGACAAGCCAATCCGCACACAATATTCAGCGCAGTAGTAGTAAAAAACAAAAGAGCGGGCAACCCCACCCCTACCACGCTGTGGGCTCGGTGTCCGAGCGGTCTCATTCCTTTGTGCGCACGCGCAACGACCGCACGCAGTATAAGAAAAATGCTTAAGTGACGTCACCAGGACGTTTTTACCGACAAAAAACGTAATTATTCTAAGTTGTGCAGTGAAGTGACGAGAATTAGACCCAACACAAGGTTGGTTGTAACAACTATTTTGTGCAAGTGCTCGTACATTTTTATTATAAGCGTTGTGACACGACGCGTAACTTTGACCCATTTTTAGCTCCAAGTTAACGCGCGATGTTAACCAGTAGCCATTTTTTGTACGTTGAAAATGAAGGCGCGTCCGGGTGTGCGCACTAGTACGTTCGCAGAGGGTGAGAGTTCGACGACGACTGGCGGCTCTCGGCCGCGTGTGCGGCGCGGTGAGCCGCTAGAAGCTTCTCACCATAAAAGGCGAGAGGCCTCCGACCAATCAGCGGGCCGCATTGCTAACGGCTAGCTCGGAATGTTCTAGGCGCGCGATAATATTATTACCTACGCGCGCACCCAGATTCGCTTACTTATTTAATTATCCAAAATCACATACACACAGTGTAAGTTCGACATGTTCAATTTACAGTTGACATAGTTAAATATATTATTATTACGGTGCAAATATAGTACCTATTCATTGATAGGTACATAGGTACACACACATAGATACATTTCAGGTTAAAGGCAAATTAGATTCATAAGTAACTACATTTACATAATTAACAATATGTAGGTCTATCAACTACCTACTTCTGGTGGCCATCGTCAACAGTTGCCATCCGTCCGGGTTTCCCCGGATTTGTCCTAATTTAGAGGGTGTCCGGGGAGCGTCCGGGCAGGGTTTTATTTATTATCCGGGTATAAAAAATTAAATCTTGGGCCAATGCCGGGCAATGCAACTAAATTTTATAAAAACCTGTTGACATAGGGTTCTGGGCCCCAAAATCCGGGGTTTTCACGCGTCTTATCCTGGTTGTCAAATTTTGAGATGGCAACCCTTTTTGAAGGTCCAAAATCAATGAAAAATTTGGACTCGTTATGCCCGCTTATTTATGGAAATGCTTAGCAAAGCTTGTAGGTACCTATTATGAGTATAATCACACATGTCTATTTTTTTGGAAATACATACATAGGTATTATTACACATAGAAAACATCCAGACTATTCCAGACCAATGCAAAGGCAAACAGTCAAGGTCATGCACGTAAATGTGCGGGGATCGAACCCGCGACCTCAGGCTTAGTAATTCAGTACGCGAAAGCGAACCCTTTAGAAGTTATGAATTAACAGCTTTGGACTTCTTATTTTTAGATAACAGTAACACAGCACTGTCGACAAACTGTTCAGCAGTTTGGCAGATTAGTATTAAGTAAAATCAATGTTACTTTTATGAGATAAAAAAATTAAAAAAAAGATACCCTAAAAATAACATTAAGTACTAACAATAATCGATTAATGTATAATGTAACGTACACTTGTAAGGAAGTGTACGTTTCCAAAAAATGTCGTTGTCAGAGATTGACTGAGTTTAATAAACAGTATATTATTAGAAAACCCTTATAAGTTGGGAAAAAAGCAAATGATACCGCGATCTAAAACCAGACAGCGCCATCTATTGGTGAGCGCGCATAAACTTATATTTTCTCTAGCTAGCGCGTGTTTGCCCTAAACCATATGGATGGGTGCGAAGTATAAGGTGGGGGAACCACGAAACGATCGCAGCGCGCGTCATGGCCAAAAAAGAAACTTTCTGTGGCGGACGCCGTCACTTTTTACTAGAGATGAAACGGATATCCGGCAACTATCCGGTAAGCCGGATATCCGGCCTAAATTTACTATCCGGCCGGATACCGGATAGTAGCTCACTATCCGGCCGGATACCGGATATTAAAAAACAACGAAAATTTCCTATAATAAAATGAAACACATTCATCTTTGAGTTAAATATCCATAAAATGGCTTATAATAATGACGATTTTTATCTAAAGTCTAAAAAGTTACAAAAAGCCATATTAAGGCCTTTCAAAAAACTAATTTCCTTTCTGGGCTATCCACTCTAATGACGAATACATAAATAGTAAACATATTTTAATGTCGAAATATTGCCTAATAAAATAGGCGATCTTTTTTTCACTGATGGTCTGATGACATACAGGGTGACTTTGAAATCGTTGGCATCCTTTTAATATAAGACTACTCATAAAACATAGTGCATTCCCCAAATATGAGACAAATCCAATGAGATTTTTTGTCATTATTTTAACTATTAGTTCCATTCCCCAAATATGAGATTTGTCTCATATTTGGGAAATTGGATATTGGATTTGTCCAATGATATTTTTTGTCATTATTTTAACTACTTAGTTCTAAGCACTTCTAGCTATAGTAATTCCATGTATGCGTGTTTGTCTTGTTGGTTGTCCTAATAAATAAAATTAAATGAATAAAAATAAACTATGTATTTGTATTAGTGTGCTCTTAAAGAGTTTAAAACTATTGTATAGTCAACAGCACATCATCCTATACATTTTGTTGCAAAATAACACTTAATACATTGAAATAAGATGCCACAGAATGAAGATTGATGTGCTGTCGTCTGTACAAGATTTCAAATATTGAAATTTTAATTCATTTGATATGACTCATATTTGGGGAATCATGAGTAAAGTCTTATTTTAAAAAGAATGCCAACGATTTAAAAGTCACCCTGTATAATGCAGTTCAGTCAGATTATGCAGCAAGTAAACTAATTGAATTTTCGCTATTCAATCACATACTCACGATGGCAACCGAAATCGCCCGAATTGATCTGCCCCTTAGACGAGTGGCAAAATCTGACATTCTATTCGAACGAATTCGATTTTTGAAAAGTGTGACTTGTCTAGTCTACTAGACCCACTAATCGCGTTCGAAGCACCTGTGTGGCGCTAAACTCGTTACGACATGCAACATGACAATGGGACAACTATCCGGCCGCCGGATATCCGGCTATCCGGCCTAGCAGCTCGCCGGATATCCGGTATCCGGTATCCGGCCAAACAACTATCCGTTTCATCTCTAGTATTTACATAAGTAGTCCGAGATGATGTTTTTGAAATATACACATTGTGGTTGAATCTTGATAGTGGTTTTATTTCGCCTACTTCTCAAGATATTTTTTGGGACTTGAACATGGTCCTCGAGCCGGGTTGGCATCTGAGAGGCTTTGTCTTGTCCACTTGCGGTACCGACTAGGCGGCCGATTGCCGTCGATGGTGCTTTCTGGGTGTTTGGTGTTCCGAACACGACTCTTGGAGTAATTAGAAGGAAGTTGAGGAGACGGAAGCCATACCGATCCAGAAGAGGCGCAGTTTACCAGTCGGGCCGACAGGGGGAGCCACGTACGAGCTTCGAGAAAGGAGCGGATGGAGGAATGACGGATTATTTACAATGGGACAGTGACAGTGAGTGAAGTGATAAACTGTAAGTAAATTTGAACTTTATTTACATAGACAATTTTACTTTGAAACTTTGAAGTGATACAAGCAAGAAGAAGAATTTGAACTTTATTTATATGGACAAATTAACTTAGTGATTTTAAAGAAATATTTTATGGACTTGTAATAAATTTAGTGTAGATTTAGACTTAGAATAATTTCGTTAAAAGTTAACTTACGGGGAACCTATGCCCGATTTTTTCTAAGTGTCTTAATTCTAAACACTTAGAAAATTTTTGCAAACTTCTCAAGGGACTTAGTCGTTTTTAGCTAGTGAAATTTTACTTATATCGGACTTTTGTTTAGTGATATTTTTAAGTGTTGTAATTTTACAAATCATTTATTTATTATTGTAATTAAACAATTTTTCTATTATGGAGGGTTTAATACAGTTGCAAATTGATTGTCAAAATACTATATCTAAGGGAAAAACGAACTTTAAAAAGGCTGGTAAAGATCGTTTAACTATTGCTTACATTGAGACACGATTAGAAAATTTAGATCAGCTATGGCAAACTTTTTGTGAAACACATAGGCAAATTATTAGCGAGTATGAACCTAAAGAAAGAAAACAATCAATATATGAGTTACAAAATGTTTATGAAACAACAGAGGAATTATACTTAGATTACAAAACAATACTTAAAGAGGGATTAAACAAAATTTCACAAAATAACACTGAAAAAAGCTGTACAATTGAAAATAAAAATCCTATTAATACATCATGTCATGTCAATTTGCCGAAGATTTCTATACCTATGTTTTCAGGTTTGTACACTGAATGGGCTTCATTTAGAGATTTATTCATTTCACTGATCCACAAAAATGATACATTGGATGACGTTCAAAAGCTACATTATTTAAAAAGCCATTTATCGGGCGAAGCGGAGAAACTTTTGCGTCATGTGTCTATTACCGCTAGTAACTATCAGATTTGTTGGAAACAGTTAAAACATAGGTATGATAACAAAAAATATTTATCGGACAATATTTTAAAGCGTTTAATGGGTATTAAGCCATTACAAGTAGAGTCATCTAGTGCTATTAAGGAGGTATTAGACACAACAAATGAATGCTTACACGGTTTAAATAATCTCGGCATTGACACTAGTTCCTGGGATATAATTGTTATTCACATAATAAGTCAAAAATTAGATTCAGAATCAAGAAAATTATGGGAAGCTAAGGCTAGCGAGACTTTTGATGTTTTACCTACTCTCACTATTTTTAATGATTTTCTTGAGCATAGATTCAGAGCCTTAGAATTTTTGAGTTCGAAATCAAGCAAGCCTAATGTATCTTCTCGTAGCAACCCATCTAATAATACATATGTACAAAAATCACTTCATGTATCTACATTATCATGCCCCTTTTGTAACGAGAATCACAAAATAATTAATTGTAAAAAGTTTCCTAAAGAGGACTCGGATTCTCGACGTGAATTTATCCAAACTAAAGGGCTTTGTTTTAATTGTTTGGGTCCTAATCACTCCGTCTACACATGTCGTCAAGCCTCTAGATGTCGAATCTGTAAACGAAAACATCATTCATTGTTACATCCCAAATCTATCTTAAAGATATCGAAGTCTGAGGAAGGAGTAGAGTCAGGCGATCAGAGTATAAATGTTTCAGTTGCAACCACTAATGCTGAAGAAACTCATGATCAAACCACAAATGTTGTTTCTTACTTCTCTAAAGCTAGTAGTCAGGTCTTATTAGCAACTGCTTTAGTTAAAGTTACGAATAATTCAGGAGTTCAAGAAACGTTAAGGTGTTTATTGGATCAGGGATCTCAAGCGTCTTTTATCACCGAGTCTACAGTTCAAGCTCTTGGATTGAAGAAGGTGCCTAGCAAGGTTTTTATCTCCGGAATAGGTAGTGGCACAGATGACAACGCTTCATTGGCGTCGAAATCTGTTGTTTTTGTGAAGATTCAGTCGCTACACGATCCCGGAACTGTTTTGGTTGTTAAGGCACATGTTTTGAACAGATTGACATCAGTCATTCCTTCTTCCAGAGTTGGTGTTAAAATTTGGCCACACTTGGTAGGTATAAAGTTAGCTGATCCAAAATTCTATATACCAAACAAAATTAACATGTTGTTGGGAGCAGAAGTATACAGCCAGATTTTAGTCGATGGTGTTATTAAAGGTCCTGTAGGATCTCCTGTAGCTCAGAACACCACCATCGGCTGGATATTATCTGGTCAGATTCAATCTGAATCTCTAGTTGAGCCCAAGGCATGCCACAACATCGTAAGTATGCACACACAGTTAAATGAGACCGAAATATTGCGAAAATTTTGGGAGTTAGAGGCAGAACCTTCAAGCAAGAAGCAATTGACTGAAGAAGAGAAGTTGTGTGAAGAAATTTTCACCAAAACAACCACCAGAGATCCTACTGGGCGGTATATAGTCAAGCTTCCATTCCGTAATGAAGATCCGCAGTGCCAATATGGAAATTCAAACCTCATCGCTGCCAAAAGACTTCAAATGTTGGAAAGAAGACTGGATAGAGACCCAAATTTGAAGCAACAATATTCTGATGTGATAGCAGAATATATTGAGTTAGGTCACATGGAGATCGTACCCGTAGATCAACAAGACAAGTTAGGAACTGTTTATCTTCCACATCATGCCGTTATCCGTGAAGATAAGACCACTACCAAAGTCCGAGTCGTATTTGATGCATCGTGCCAAGGTGATAATGGCGTATCACTTAATAGTGAACTCATGATAGGGCCTACCTTACAACCGGACTTAAGGCATCTTGTGTTGCAGTGGCGTTCACATCCGATATGTTTGATTGCAGACATAATAAAAATGTATCGCCAAGTCAAAGTCACTGAGTCGGATGCAGACTTTCAACGCATATTGTGGCGCAACGATTCTGGGTTGCAACATTTGAGAAGTCTGCGTGTTACTTTCGGGACGGCCTCAGCACCTTACTTGGCAGTTAAGGTATTACAGCAGATAGCTAAAGACGATGGTAAAGAATTTCCATTGGCAGCAGAGAGAGTTTTAAGTCTTTTCTATATGGATGACTTAATGAGTGGGTGTGAGTCTATTGCGGAAGGCATCCAAGTCTTTACGGAAATGAACAGCTTGCTAAACAAAGGCGGATTTCAGCTTCAGAAATGGAAGAGTAATGATGAGGAGTTACTGCAAAGAATAGGGGCAAACAAAAGAAACAAGGATGAAAAGGTTGAAATTAAAGCGGAGTCTAGTAACATTCAGAAAGTTCTTGGTTTAGCTTGGGATAGTGTAAAATACACATTTGAATACACTATTGAACTTCCTGAACTGAAAATTCCTGTTACTAAGCGTAGAGTGATATCCGACATCTCACGTTTATTTGATCCTCTGGGATTCATAGCTCCTCTCATTATTACGGCCAAGGTTTTTATACAAAAGCTATGGATAGCGGGCATAGAATGGGATCAAGAACTTCCTCCTCACTTGCTTAATGAATGGATTAAGTATAGAGATAATCTTTTATCTATTACTGCCTTCCACATACCCAGATGGATTGGAACGCGTAAAAATGACACATGCGTAGAGCTGCATGGGTTTTGTGACGCCTCTACTGTGGCATATGCAGCCGTTGTGTATGTGCGTGTGGTGGATCAGGATGGGAACGTAAACGTCACACTTGTGACCGCCAAGACGAAGGTAGCTCCCATTAAACAAGTATCCATTCCTCGCTTGGAACTTTGTGGCGCAGTCTTGTTGGTCAAGTTATTATTGGAGGTATCTGAAGTGCTTGATATACCTAAACATCACATTCATGCTTGGACCGACTCGTCTGTCGTGTTAGCCTGGTTAAGTAGTCATCCAAGTAGGTGGAAAACTTTTATCGGGAATAGGGTTTCGGAAATTTTGTCAGTTACTGATAGAAGCCAGTGGTCCCACGTTCGGTCAAGCGATAACCCTGCAGACTGCGCGTCCAGAGGCATTACATCTTTTGATGAGTACGATGAGCAGTTATGGAAGAAGGGGCCAGGTTGGTTGAATAACATATCAATAAATTACAGTCCACTCGAGAGTTTAGAACAGGATACCAACCTGGAAGAGAGAACTCAAAAGTTGTGTTGTTTGACCTCACAGGACACTGTTGACATCTGGACAAGGTTTTCTGACCTTCGTAGGTTATGTAGAGTCACTGCTTTATGTAGGCGATTTTTGCAATTGACACACTATTCGGGTCAAAGACCTCAGTTTGCGCCATGGTTGACTGCGTTAGAGTTGCGAGAGGCTCTAAATCTGTGTATACGATTTTACCAAGGTATACATTTTCAGGAAGAGATAGAAAACCTCAGCAAAAATAAAACTGTGGGTAAGAAGAGTTCAATTAATTCATTGAACCCGTTTATGGATGCTGACAATATTTTACGAGTTGGTGGACGATTGAGAATAGCCGATGTCTCTATGGATATGAAACATCCTATTTTAATACCTAAAAAGTGTCATTTAACGGAATTAATTATTGCTGACGCTCATGACAAAACATTACATGGAGGAACACAATTAATGTTAAACTATCTAAGGTCACGGTATTGGATTATAGACATGAAGCGACAGGTTAAGTTCCACGTTAAAAAATGTGTACGTTGTGTGCGCTATTCCTCACGTCCAATGCATCAACTGATGGGTCAACTGCCTGCATCCCGAACCACTCCAGCTAGGCCTTTCTACCGAAGTGGTGTTGATTATGCAGGTCCAATAGCCGTAAGATCAGCAAAGGGTAGAGGACAACACTCCACAAAGGGTTATATTTGCCTATTTGTCTGCATGGTCACGAGAGCAATACATTTGGAAATGGTAAGTGATTTGACCTCAGAAGGATTTATCGCTGCCTTTAAACGTTTCGTAGCCAGACGTGGCCATTGTGCTGAGCTGTGGAGCGATAATGGCACCAACTTCGTTGGCGCTTCACGGGAACTAAAGGAATTGTTCGACAAGGAAAGGTCTACAATTGCAGTAGAGATTGCAGATTGGCTATCGACGAACGATACCAATTGGCATTTNTATTATTATTTATTTATGGACTGACAGCAAAAGCTTTGGACTTGTTATTTTTGAGAACAGTAACACAGATAGAACAGGTTAATAATGTAACCTGTCGTTACGAGTACAAGCCATCCCTAAAAATAACACTACTATCAATAATAATCGATTAATGTACGTAACAGTGTGCTTACCATGAGATTACGTTAGGTGTGCTCGCTAGCGACTGCGTGAAAAAATGACATATTGTGCAGCGCCCCTAGCGGCTACTTTCAAGAAACAAAATCTTTATAGATATTTTTGACGTACTCGCTAGCGAGCACACCTAACGTAAACTCATGGTAGGTGCACAGGTACTATTACTTATTCTGTGATGTAACGTACACTTGTAAGGAAGTGTACGTTTCCAAAAATTTTGATATAAAACAATCTCAGTTATGACGAATTATTACAGTAGATAATTTAGAATACCCTTATAAGTTGGGAAAAAAGCAAATGATACCGCGATCTAAAACCAGAAAGCGCCATCTATTAGTGAGCGCGCATAAACTTATATTTTCTCTAGCTAGCGCATGTTTGCCCTAAACAAATCAACATGTCTTTACATAGCAGAACCAAAACTAAAGGGATTTTCTGCAGTTCCTTGTTTTAAAACTTTTCCCTTACCTACCGCAAATTCAGAACTAACATGGCCGCGCTCGGTGTTGGCCAACAATCATTTAGACATTTACCGGTACGTAATTTCAGTTGCCGTTAATTAGTTTTCACAAATTAGGCTAACTTTCGGATCTTATACAGGGTGGAAACAATAAGTGACCTCACTATTATTTCTAAACTATACAAGATATCGAACAACTGGTTACTGATTCTGAAAATGCTTCATGAGCTCTATCAAACGGTATCAATGATAGATTACAGGATAAACTGGATCTATCCGAAAATTCAATTTTACCAGCTTCCAGAGTAAACCAGTTTTTCGATATCTTGTAGGTATAGTTCAGAAATAATCGAGTGAGATCACTTATCGCTTTCAGCCTGTANTATTCCACCTCATACTCCAAATTTCGGTGGATTATGGGAGGCGGGAATAAAGTCAACCAAGCATCACCTGAAGCGAGTCATTGGAGAAAGCAAACTCACGTTTGAAGAAATGACAACGGTGTTGTCTCAAATTGAGTCTTGTCTCAATTCGAGACCAATATCAAGACTCGCTGATGTTGACCCATTGGATCCCTTTCCTTTGACTCCTGGACATTTCTTGATAGGAGAGCCATTAGTATTAGTTCCTGATGTAAATTATGAGAACTCCAGCATTAATAGCTTGCGTAGGTGGCAATTGACTCAAAAAATGATTCAGGAATTTTGGCGTCGTTGGTCCAAAGAATACCTGACTCAATTCTTTCATCGGTATAAATGGAACAATGAGATGTCTGAACCCAACATCGGAGATTTGGTTTTGATAATGGAAGATGATCTTCCCCCAGGTCGATGGTTATATGGCATAGTCGTGGAGAAGCACCCAGGTTCGGATAAGCTCACTCGAGTAGTTAGCGTTCGATGTAAAGGGTCAAATGTTATTAAAAGACCTATATGTAAATTACGAACATTACCAGTTACACAATGAAAGGGAACACTGTAACTCATGTTTAAAAAATAAAAATAAAAAATATTGTTTTTGCCTTTAAAAATTACATTTCATTATTGTACAATTAGTATTAAGTAATTTCTTACTATCAACGTTTTAGCTTTAAGATATAGTGATGGACAGTTGTCCATGGGAGGCGGTATGTTTACGCCATTCCTTTATGATATTAGCACATACGCGTAGTGCGTACTATGTAATTCAAGTGCACACCGCTAGATGGCGCTGTAGGCTTTTAACACGCGGTGATAAAGTATTTTTCGATTTACATAAGTAGTCCGAGATGATGTTTTTGAAATATACACATTGTGGTTGAATCTTGATAGTGGTTTTATTTCGCCTACTTGTCAATATATTTTTTGGGACTTGAACAATAGGACACTTTCNAGCCTGTATAGTTACAACATGCGAATTTCCAATATAAATGTAGGTACAGTCTATTGGGGTATGTCCCTACAAATTTTGACCTCGACTCTTGGGCTAATATTCCGTTCGTTATAAAACGGCAACGTCTCTTTTATAACGTTTAATTAACTCAGTCAGTATTGATTTACCTAATGAAAACATTTCGAAGTTATGAGAATATACCTCTGGAATTGGCTTATATTGTATGGAGCACCCATTCCGAGGTTTTTTATTTTAATTAACGTAAAAGATCGCTTATATGTGCTATTCTAATTAAACCTAGATACTTATACAGGAATATAAGGAATATAGGTGTTTACGNACACTTTCGGTCTCGGCATCTTTTATTTAGAAATTATTTCATTATTATTACTTAAACTGTACCTACATATTTATTTACCTACGTACACTAGTAGTAGTAGTACGTAGTATGAAGTAGCACTTTACTTCAACGCAAAAATCAACTGGCCATGAGAAGATAATAAACTCAATCTTCTAAATTAAAAGGAATATAATTCACATCATTTTCTAAAGTAGAAAGAGTTGAAAGGCATGTACAATATTAATTTGTCATTTTACTACTTGTAACATTGTTGTAACTATAATAATTATAACTCTAACCACATTTAAATAACAACGCATCGAGCTAATCTCTAAACTAACATGGAATGGCCCGCCTCGAAGGCAATCAGCTAATTTACTTTACAATTAACAGCCGCCCTTTGTCTACACTCGTTACTTCTCCATAATTTGATGGATTAATATTTTATTTGGTACGGCTTTTAGAAGTTGAGTTGGCTTTAAAAACGTTGGGTCTGTGTATGTAATCAGAATAACAAAGCTTTTTAAAATTAAAGAGCATTAATTCCTATATTGCCTACTTCTCAGCATTTTCCAGATGTTATCTCGAAGCACTGGTAGGGCAAAATAATAATGAGCCATGTAAATGCTGCTTCAGGGCTGATGACCTCCTCCTCTGGTGTCTGGAGTGGAAGTCATTGGGGGAGGCCTATGTTCAGCAGTGGACGTCCTGTGGCTGAAATGATGATGATGATGATGAAATTAGAGAAGATCGTGCTCCAGGAGCACCTGATGTAGAGACTAAATAAATGACCTGTGTGCCTACCATGAGTTTACGTTAGGTGTGCTCGCTAGCGACTGCGTAAAAAAATGACATTTAAATGTATGACATATTGTGCAGCGCCCCTAGCGGCTACTTTCAAGAAATAAAATCTTCATAGAATTTTTTGACGTATTCGCTAGCGAGTTCACCTAACGTAAACTCATGGTAGGCACACTGATGACGATTAATTACATCAATACCTCGTTGCGTGAAAACGTGATAGTACAAGTTCTTTGCGCATGTGTCTCTTCCACTACCTGCTTTAGAGCCAGATATAAATCAGAGGCATAAGAATTTGACTAAATCCGCAATTCGAAGAAAAATAGCTCCACCAGCCGTTGAATGATGTGGAAACTTTTCTTCCGCGGTCGATTTCTCCGCACAGATGTATTCAAGAGCCATATTTCACTACAGTATTCGCCCCGCGACTTCCGTTGTATCTGCTGTATTGTATCGCTGCGGCGAAATTGAGTTTGGCTGATTTGCAAAATAGCGTGAATAGAACAGCCTCCTACTCCAATTAGACAGCTCTCCTCCTCACCTGAAACTCTTGCGGGGTTTACTAAAACCTGACCGACCTGGCCGTGTCCTGCTTCTGTTGGGATCAAATAGAAGTCATGCTATATTGTCTTTCGTCATACCCCAAAGAGAGAGTAAACAAGAAAGAAGAGAGACGTTTTAAAATCATTATGGATTTTTACTCACTTTTGATGACTATTTCAAATTTTAAGCCGAATTTGTCTTCTAGGAACTACTTACCTACTACTTAGTTAACTTTGCACTATTGTTATCTTGTAGATAGCACGATTGTTGTCAAAACAATCTTCTTTGAAAAGTTTAATTCTCAAAACTTTATCAGAGTTCTCCTTGGTTTCTCACAAAGCATCCGGAAGAGCCAACCTGCTAAAAATGTCTCAGAGAACCAATACATTATATCATTGAACTCTTTCGTCTAACCAAATGCATTAATTCTGTCGTATCTTAGAGCTACGCCACAGAATATCCTGATCATCTTGTCTTCATGAAAGCTTCGTTCTAGCTGTTCTATCCCAGCTGTGCCCGACGCGGCATCGATCCGATCGCTCCTGTTTTTGTTCGTGAGCGGANCGAGCGGAGCTATGTGATTAGAATTTGCCAAATGAGAAGCCGCGGACAGACGTGACTTGGGCACCAACACTACTGACTATAATATGACAATACTCCTACTTAGAAGTTAACTATAATACGCATTATATGGTTATTTGGCATGGATTCCAGTTTGTGTGACGCAGTAGGCAGTAGTGATTGACGATTGTGCTAAGTAGGTAAGATGTCTAGAAATGATAAAGATTTGTAATCCTCTTAACTAACTCTCTGAACACCCCATAATACAGCCCATACCTACAATGTAAAATCTAGTAATGCTGTGTACAAATCTAGAGACCTAGACATCCAACTATTTTTATTAATTACTAGGTCACATAACATAATATTTAGTTTCTTGAAAGGTAAAACAACACGAGAATTCGTTATCGTATTATCTGAAACTGAATGTAGAAACCTGAAAAAATGTTTAAAAAAGACTGTAAGTTAGGTTAGTTCATATTCAATAACAAACATTTTGAATTATCTTGAATCTGTTACATCAGAATTTCATTTACAAAGATAAGTTTTTGTTTCCGAAGTAGGTATTATAATATTCCAAACAAACGTAAAAACTCGGCGAAATGAAGTCCAAGAAAAACGAAGGACGTGTTTAGTTATTCCGTATAATAGTGTTGCTAAACAAAAAGGTCACGCGCACAACTTTCTTCTTCATAATTGAATCAGAGGAGGGTCGGTTCATGATCGTGAGCACAATACACCTCACTAACACATAAATAGAATTAATTATGTTGAGGAAGCTTGCTTTTAAAGGCTGCTTTTACACGTCCCAATGCCAACATGACTGTTTTTACAATAAACTGTACCACTGCTTCGGGACAAATAGGCCAGTCAGTGTGCTGAAAAGAAGCTGCACTAGAAACTCAGCTGCTATGTCTGTCTACTTTTCATAAATTGCACAAAATTGTGTAGCTGATGCAGCTTCAAGTCATTACATTTCATCTATTTTAGGTAGTTATTCTAGGTTTTATAAAAGCACTTTTTCTTTATTTAAAGTTCTTTCAAATATGCGATGTTATTTAAGAATGCAGCTTCAAAAGGTTTCCCCACCTCCATTTGTGAGCATGAACAAATCTGTTTGTATTGATCTGGATCTTTTCTATTACATACTTTACTCGTATGTATTTACGATAACATCATTTTCTCGTGTCAGTTTCCCATAGTAAATGCTTTGCTTAGTTTGGAACTAGATGGTCCGTTGGCGCCGTGTAAAATGTCAATTGTCCAGGGATATTTATATTATATTATCCAGGGATATTCGTGGATATTCGGGTCGGATTTATGGCTTCCTTTCCGGTGGTCAGATGATTTATTATACTTGCGTTTGTTATGCAAGTAAATTGTGAGCATTGTGTTTGTTAAATCGAAAGTAAGCAAGATTGATGGTTATAGAATTACAAAAGTTTGCTCCCTGATTTTACTTCAATTTATAAATTCAAGTGGGGAACGCAGTGTGTTATTATTTGTACGAATTTTGATTTGTTTTTGAATGTTAAAAGTGTGAGATGCAGAGCTTAATTTTCTGTTGTAGGGAAAAAATTGCGTGCTTTTTGAAGTTTATTTTTTTCGGAAATGTTTGTTTTTCCGGAAATGTATGGTTAAAGATATTTATTCTCAAAAAAGACAAATAGTCACTTACATGAGAACATCATTTNTGAGCGGAGCTGTGTGATTAGAATTTGCCAAATGAGAAGCCGCGGACAGACGTGACTGGGGCACCAACGCTACTGACTATAACCTGACAATACTCCTACTAAGAAGTTAACTATAATACGCATTATATGGTTATTTGGCATGGATTCCAGTTTGTGTGACGCAGCAGGCAGTAGGTAGTGATTTAACAAATGCTAATAAAGATTTGTAATCTTCTTAACTACCTAATACCCACAATACACCCTGTATTTACAATAGCTGTGTACAAATCTAGAGACAGAGACATCGATACTATACTGTATAGTTCATATTAATAACTATTTTTATAAATTATGAGTACTATTACCTAACATTATATTTCTTGAATGGTAAAACAACACGAGAATTCGTTATCGTACCTATTATCTGAAACTGAATGTAGAAACCTGAAAAAATGTGTACCTAAAAAGACAGTAGGTACCTAAGTTAGGTTAGTTCATATTCAATAACAAAAAATTTGAATTATCTTGAATCTATTACATTAGAATTTCATTTACGTTTTTGTTTCCAAAGTATTATAATATCCCAAACAAACGTAAAAACTCGGCGAAATGAAGTCCAAGAAAAACGAAGGACGTGTTTAGTTATTCCGTATAATAGTGTTGCTAAACAAAAAGGTCACGCGCACAACTTTCTTCTTCATAATTGAATCAGAGGAGGGTCGGTTCGTGATCGTGAGCACAATACACCTTACTAACACACAAATAGAATTAATTATGTTCAGGAAGCTTGCTTTTAAGGCTGCTTTTACTCGTCCCAATGCCAACATGACTGTTTTTACAAAAACCTCTACCACTGCTTCGGGACAATAAATAGTGTGCTGAAAAGTAGCTGCACTAGAAACTCAGCTGCTATGTCTGTCTACTTTTCATAAATTGCACAAAATTGTGTAGTTGATGCAGCTTCAAGTCATTACATTTCATCTATTTTAGGTGGATATTCTAGGTTTTATAAAAGCACTTTT